CCTCCTGCTCCGCCCTCGGCTCCTCCCCTCCCGGCGGAAGGCCCGGGACGTGCGGGACACCGATCTGGAACGCTGAGACTGGGCATACACACACCTGGCAGGGGAAGCGACGACCTGGAGTCTCTTTTATAATCCAAGGGTGGTCCTGGGTTGACGGCAGCAGCATCACCTCGGAGCATATTAAAAACGCAGCATCTCAGACTTCGCCCTAGACCTATTAAATAAAAATTCGAGTAGTTAATAAGATCCCCAGGTGATTCGCATACACATTAAAGTTTGAAAAGCCACTGAACTAGGCTAGAGTGACAGGAAAAAACTGGGCGCCCTCTTGGAAGTTTGATTTTTATTTTGGTCACTTTGGAGTTCTTATTCTGAGTGCTTCAACCCCACAGACTGGGGGATTATACGTATATCATGTTTCATGAGTTAAAATGTTGAAATGCCCTGTATGGATACTCTGTTGGCTTTATGTCATTTTTTTTTTTCTTCAGTATACGGGAGTAAAAACTCAAAGAACCACATAGGTTAAAGCGGAGGAGTGGGGACCCCTCTCCCTCTATGCGTCCACAGTAAGAACCCAATTATCTTGAGGTCATTAACTAATGTAAGGATAAGCACTGTATGAGACTTTACAGCTAGCTCTCCTTTCTGTCATTCCTTAGGTTTTTTCCTTCCTTCCTTCCTTCCTTCCTTCCTTCCTTCCTTCCTTCCTTCCTTCCTTCCTTCCCATGTTTGTTCCCTTTTGCTTTTCTTCTGTAGGAATTACTGAGTTTCTGTGTCCTAGGACCCAAAATAGATGGATGAGTAACATAAACATGGTCATAAACAGGACCAGCAGTTGGCATAATGGCTATGTCGCTGGGCTCCCATGTAGTCGACTGGTTCGAGTCCCGGAACTGGTGGCTTAATCTCACTCCAGGCACATTTGCGTGTGTGCCCAGGATACCGAGAAGAGAATGGAGGAGAAGGGATTGCTGCGTGGCCATCCCTCCTGGGGGGCGGGGGGGGGGATTTCTCGCTTTCTGTCTTTCCCACTTTCTGGTGAGCACATGTGCCCTATAGCGTAAACCTCTCCGAAACTACAGTTCAATGAGAAAGACAGAAACTAGTGACCTTTCTTGTGTTCAGCTACTTTGATTCTTTTCCCCAAGTGTTGATTCTTGAAGGCTAAAAAGGTCACTTCTCCCAGGGGCATTTGGAAGGAACTGTGGAAGACACAAGAGGAAGTAATTCAGAGAAAAGTTTCTGACAGTTCGTGGGGAGAGCAGCTATACCACTTATTTTAAAAGCCAGTTTTATTTGGAGATTTTTTTTCCCATGAGTGTTCATTGTCACTATGGTTGAGTAGCAGAGATTAAGTAGCCTGGCCCGCCATCTACTTGTGTGATGTAGTCTGAGAAAGGACCTCAGTTTAGCAAGATTATTGCCAGGACTGAAACATCCACCCACCTCAGGCGTAGTGTGGCCATCATCCCCCTCTACTGCCAAAACATGTTTATTTTTAGTAATAATAATAATAATAATAATAAAGATAAGTTCTCTTTAAGGCAAGAAATGTACAAAATTCTTTCCCAAAGACCTCTATAGGATAAAGGAAGGAAGGGGCTCAAAGAAGCAACTGAATGTTTAGTTTCTCCTTGAGGCTTCTTTCCTCATCCCTCAATCTCAGTAGGCATAAGGAGCGAGTTTTGTCCCCTCAGACAAGGAGACATAAAATCCAAGCCTTTCTTGGCAAAAAAAATGAAGCCGTATTCCACTTCATTCTTCCACACCTCACCCTTGTCATAAATCTAGAGGCAATTCTGGTCATTCTGACTCTGATTATCCTACACAAGCCAGCCTGGAGGCAGTACCAGCAGCCATGACAGGGACCTGTGCCAACTCACTTTCAAACAGAATTATAGGCATGTCTCCAAGAACAAGAGCTCTGATTTTCCTCATTGTGTCACCTCTCTATTCCCCCAAATGCTGTGTAACAAGCAACCACAAAATCTTGAGGCATATAGCAGTAAGTTTTGCTCATGCATTTAGGATGGTGGCTGGGTTCATTCATGCATCCAGCAGTGGGCTGGCTCTTGTTTGGGGAGATTGTGGTAACTGGGCTCTGGTCCAGTTACTGGAGGACATCTTTCTTGTCCTCCAGAAGGCCAACCCCACCTGCTTACATGGTGATGGCAGAGGGGCAAGGGCAAAAGTAGAAACATGCGAGACTTCTTAGGGTCTAGTCTAGAACTGTCTTATTCTATTGGCAAGTCACATGAGAAAAATATAAGATGTCTTTATGAAACTCTGAAGTTCCATGATAAAGGGTGTGGATACAGGACAGAGTGAAGGATTAAGGTTCCCATGGATTTCTTTTGGACAGTGATGCCAACAATAGGTCATAATAGAGCAAAGGTCATAATATGGGTATGAAACAGCATGATTTGGGAAAAGCAAGAGGTTATTCAGAAGCCCTCTTAAAGGCATCAGACAAGTGAACCCTTTTACCTATAAAATTATTTTCCAAAGACCTCATCAGTTCATCTGCTACACAATCACCTGGAAAAAAAACCAACCCAGAACAGTACCCACCCCAAACAAGGTATTTAGACTACCTGAAGCTCTACCTCTAATTGTTGTTTGTATTTCATGTTGAGTAAATTCTCTTTGCAAGCCAAATGATGTGCAGTGATCTAATATATAAATAATAATAATAAAATGAAAACATTTTTTAAATGGCTCATACACCCACCACTGCTTAGAGAGCCACCACGTGTCCCCATCCTCCCTCTTCTGCCAATACCATCCCCTATATCTCTTCAAACCATTTATAAAAAATAACCAAGAGCAATTGGAGATTGTGTCAACATTTCAAGAGCAATCAGGAATGCAAGATTGGTTAAACATTTAAGAATCGACCAGGAATTCAGACCGATTTAATATTTGGAAAATAATCAATGTGATTAATCATATCAGGAATAAAGCCAAAAAACAAAAGATCCTCTCAATTCATGCAGAAAAAGCATTTGACAAAATTAAATCACTCACTAGTTTAACTCTCAGCAACATGTGAAAAACAATAATTTTTGGTATAATTGAAGCTACTCTCAAGATGATCTTTAGCCAACTTCATACTTAATGTGAAGGACTGAGTCCTTTCTCCCTAGATAAGCTAAGGCAAAGAGGTATAATTTCTCTTCTTCTGTTCATGGTATTAACAGTACTGGCCAAAGCATTAAGGCAATGAGAAAGAGAAGCCATACAGACTGAAAAGGGTTAAGTAGGTAGTCATGATTTGCAAATAACATAACTATCTCCATAGAAGAGTTAAGGAATCTAAACCAAACCTACTATCAATAGAAGTAGCTGAATGTAGCAAACTCACCCGATCCAGGCCAATATATAAAAATCATTGTATTTCTGGGACCAGCAGATGGCACAATTGTTACATTGCTGGACTCCCACATAGTAGATAGTTTGAGTCTCCGACCCAGCGACTTAAACTCACACCAGGCGTATGTGCATGCGTGCCCAAGATCCCAAGAGGAGAATGGAGAAGGGATTGTGGCATGGCCATCCCTCTGGGGGGGGCGGGGGGGGGGATTTCTCGCTTTCTGTCTTTCCCACTTTCTGGTGAGCACATGTGCCCTATAGCGTAAACCTCTCCGAAACTACAGTTCAATGAGAAAGACAGAAACTAGTGACCTTTCTTGTGTTCAGCTACTTTGATTCTTTTCCCCAAGTGTTGATTCTTGAAGGCTAAAAAGGTCACTTCTCCCAGGGGCATTTGGAAGGAACTGTGGAAGACACAAGAGGAAGTAATTCAGAGAAAAGTTTCTGACAGTTCGTGGGGAGAGCAGCTATACCACTTATTTTAAAAGCCAGTTTTATTTGGAGATTTTTTTTCCCATGAGTGTTCATTGTCACTATGGTTGAGTAGCAGAGATTAAGTAGCCTGGCCCGCCATCTACTTGTGTGATGTAGTCTGAGAAAGGACCTCAGTTTAGCAAGATTATTGCCAGGACTGAAACATCCACCCACCTCAGGCGTAGTGTGGCCATCATCCCCCTCTACTGCCAAAACATGTTTATTTTTAGTAATAATAATAATAATAATAATAAAGATAAGTTCTCTTTAAGGCAAGAAATGTACAAAATTCTTTCCCAAAGACCTCTATAGGATAAAGGAAGGAAGGGGCTCAAAGAAGCAACTGAATGTTTAGTTTCTCCTTGAGGCTTCTTTCCTCATCCCTCAATCTCAGTAGGCATAAGGAGCGAGTTTTGTCCCCTCAGACAAGGAGACATAAAATCCAAGCCTTTCTTGGCAAAAAAAATGAAGCCGTATTCCACTTCATTCTTCCACACCTCACCCTTGTCATAAATCTAGAGGCAATTCTGGTCATTCTGACTCTGATTATCCTACACAAGCCAGCCTGGAGGCAGTACCAGCAGCCATGACAGGGACCTGTGCCAACTCACTTTCAAACAGAATTATAGGCATGTCTCCAAGAACAAGAGCTCTGATTTTCCTCATTGTGTC